AGACGACCTCGGCAATCCCGTAACGAAATCCATCGTGACTTCCTCCCACTTCCACCAGAACGACCCTTTCAGGTCGTGATACATTTTCGTGCTCCCGGGATGGGCTAGATAGGGTGCGGTATGAGCCTCTGATAAAATCTCCTTCCGCAACGCCTCGACCTTCGGGACCACGATCCTGCGTCTGAACTCTAGGGCACCATCGGCACCTAGCTGAAAACCCTCGACGCTTCCGGCGCGAACCTTGGCCTCCATAACACGAATGAACTTGTCAGAAGCCTGCTCTCGCCGGATTCTCTCTCTCAGCGTCGGCTGAAGCTGCATAGCACTGACACTAACACTGGTACTCCCTGAAACTGCTATGGGAAGTGCATCAATCGCCTGAAGCTTCATCCGGGCAAACTCATGAATCAACGGACTCTGCTGAGTGATGACGTACGTCAAGTCACCCCTCACCTTTCGGCTTAGGGCGTCAGCAACGACGTTCGCCTTCCCCGGATGATACTGAATCGAGCAGTCGTAATCCTTGACGAGCTCTAACCAACGGCACTGTCTCATGTTGAGCTCCTTCTGAGTAAAGATATACTGCAAGCTCTTATGATCTGTGAAAATCTCACAGTGACCGCCGTAAAGATAGTGTCGCTAAATCTTGAGAGCATGAACGACTGCTGCTAATTCCAAGTCGTGCGTCGGATATTTCTGCTCATGAGGCTTAAGCTGACGTGAAGCATAGCGACCTGGCCATCCTGCATAAGGACGCATCCCAAGCCCTGTCTCGAAGCATCGCTGAAGATGGTGAAACTCCGAGAAGGATCGAGAAAAGTAAACACCGGTGCTGAAGTTAATCTTCTTCTGAGCTCCTGAAAGCTCGCCTCACAACGATCAGTCCACTCGAACTTCACAGACTTCCTCGTCAGCTGGGATAGAGGGAGGGCGATCTTGGAAAAGCCCTCGATAAACTTGCGATAATAGCCAGCTAGACCGAGAAAACTGCGAACCTCGGACGGACTCCTCGGTGTCGACCAATTCTGAACAGCTGAGACCTTGGAAGGATCCACCTCGATACCTGCCTGAGTAATCACATGACCCAGAAAGGATACTCGCTGGAGCCAGAACTCGCATTTGGAGAATTTTGCAAACAAATTTTCTCGTCTGAGGGTTTCTATAACCACTCTCAGATGCTTCTCGTGCTCCTTCTGGCTCTTCGAGTAGATAAGAATATCGTCAATAAAGACAATAACGAACTGATCGAGGTAGGGATGGAAGATACGGTTCATGAGGTCCATGAAAACAGCTGGCGAATTGCTGAGACCGAAAGGCATGACGACGAACTCGTAATGGCCGTAACGAGTCCTGAAAGCGGTCTTAGCGATATCTGACTCCTTAATCTTCAGCTGATGGTAGCCTGATCGTAAATCAATCTTTGAGAACACACAGGCTCCCCTCAATTGATCAAATAAGTCGTCGTTCTTGGGAAGCGGGTACTTGTTCTTGATCGTCAACCGGTTAAGATCCCGGTAGTCG